GTAACCAAAAACTAAACATGAATCATACTCTCTGCAGAGGAAGAAATAGGCAAAAATAATTAATTTCTAACAATATAACAAATTTACCTGTTGCACTTAAAACTTTCAAAACCATAGATATCAAGTACTCCAATGATGGATTTTGAGTTTGGATCTTGTCCAATTGAGATGTTAATTTTGTCCACGAGCCTGCAGATAAAAGTGCAAAACCCATTACCACCTACATTTTAGAACATTAACACATCCATCTCAAGTCTCGAGAAGAAAACACAATAAATTGATTTTGTCAGTCACTGACCAGTCAAATAAACAAGAATATATTGTCTTGGCCAGAGCATCCCTGCTAGCAACTGCATTTTCAGGATCAAGGGTTCTTGTGATAACCTCCTCAGGTGTGACCATCACACGTTTAATGAGGGCATCTTCCAGGCTTTGGGAATCACACCTGTCTCATGATTTAATTTGTAAAAAAATTGGCTATAGTTAATAAACCACTTAATAAAAAAGAAAAACCAAAGCGATAATGGAAAGGCAGAAGAGACAAATGTACCTAAGAAGTTCTGCTGTCATATTGAGATGGAATCTTGATTTCTCGTCCTTGATGACTGAGGAATCTATCTCTTTTCCTTTTGAAAAATTAACATTACCAAGATGAAGAATTGCAGCAACAACCCTGAAAATTGCCTCCTGAAAGAAACTGTAAACATTTAGAAGCTAGCATAATTATCACACAAAAAAAAAAATAGTAATTTGAACCATAGAGAGAGGAACCTGCTCTTGGTCGCTAATTCCAACTATATCCATCGCTCTTCTGGTTGCAAGATATTCATGTGCATCATTTACACCATCTAATTTGTAACAATTTGATTGATTCAAATAATGATAGGATTGAGGCTTCCCCAATTTATATTTCTCAATGTCCTGCAAATATTTTAACCTTCACACTGCTATACTTGCTAGATTAAAAGAACACACGATGGGACAAAAAGTGAGGAGCAGAAGGTTGAACAGTACCTCTGATGGTGCAGCACAAAGAAGGTAAAAGCAATGATAGTTCCTCTCTGGATCAGATATTTGACAAACACGAGACCTTTCAAGCAGATAAGTTCTAATTGCTGCCCCAGATATCCTTCCATTCTTGTCAAATTGTATTTCAACAAATTTACCAAAACGACTATATCATAAAGCCATGACAAAGAAAAGCCGAAAGTACAATAAGAACCTAAAAATTACAGCTGGGCAATTATAGAAATTTAACTAAAATTAACGATATTACTTAAATAATTGGACTTTTAACATTTTTACAAAAAGAATTTAACTAACACCATGTTCGAAAAAAGAATGAAACGTGAAGAATTACACACCTTGAGTTGTTGTTCCTAACTGTTTTCGCATTGCCAAAGGCTTCGAGAACAGGGTTGGACTGCAATATTTATGTCATGAAGACATCAAAAACAGACATAACTTGTATCAACTTAAACTTCAGGAAATCATGAAGAGGTAGACTAATAATTACGAATATTAGAGAGGACATCCTTTTTTTTCGAAAAAGTTTCTAAATCTTACCTCCAGAACTTGTTGTTCCACAGTTCTTCCTTCAACTCCGGATCTTCCACCCAAGAATGCAAGATACCTCATTAGCATTTTAGTTGTCTCAGTTTTACCAGCACCACTCTCTCCGCTAACCAGAATTGAATTGTTTTTTCCTTCATTAACCATCGCCCTATTATCTTATCCATCGCACATAAATAAGATCATCCAAAAGAGATAAACAGATGAAACACGTATTTATATATACATGCATAAGATATGTAAATTTTCGGGACGTACTACGTAAATCACCTGTATGCAGCATCACCAACAGCAAAAACATGAGGGCTTAGCTCCCCAAATGCAGCTCCCTTATATTGTTCCATCATGTGAGTATCATACAGATGAGGCAATCTTTGAAATGGATTAATTGCGATCAAGATATTACCAGTGTATGTCTACAATGTCAAAGCATTAGTATCAAAATAATAATTCAAAGCATTTCCTTGAATACTGAACCCCTACTTCAGTTCCTCATCATATCTTGAAAAAGAAACATAGAATTAGAATAACCTACATATATTTCATTGAGTTCATATCTAGTGGCCAAGTTTTGCAAAACGCCAGGTTCATGCAAATAAGACAGCTTTGTCATGTCATCGACACCTCCCTGTGGAGCTTCAGTGTCCTTGGGAAAAACTTTCAGAATACTCGTTACAACCTGCACAAAGCCATAAAGCCAATTGAAACTATGTAATTTATGCTTAATACTCACACCTTCCAACAGAAGATGGTGCAAAAAGTACATTTGAATTTAATGAAGATCAAAATTTTGGATGATATTACAACCAAACTAGGCTAGTTAACAAACATGAAGGAACCACAGAGTAATATACTAACAAATGTGACAACCAGGAGCAACAGAATCGTCATACGCTAGATTTATGGAAGAGAGAATGTCCCTGAAGGAGAGATTGAGTATCTCTTAAAACTTCCTTGCTATATCTTCCAAAGTTCCCATAGATGAACTATTATAATTTTAAGGGGCCACTACTTTTTACCATTTCCCAATTTTCACTGACAAAGCTTTATCAATACCTAATGCTAAGGCACCATCATGCCTAAATTTTTGAGAAGTAGAAGAAAATGAAGCTTTGGGGCTGAGAAAGTTTTCCCTTCCAGCACCTAAGGCATTTCTCGACTACATCATCAATAACTACATTTGCTTATTGTTCATGCGTGTGTATACGCATGTGTGCATATGTGTCTGTGTGTGTGACAGAGAAAAAGAGAGAGAGAGAGAGAGAGATCATCGTAAACATAAGATTCAAAACATATCCCCAAGTTAGCTCCCAGAATGTAGGTGGCATTAGTATTTGTTTGGTTGGCGAAATACTAATCACCACAGAAGTATAGTAACTTCTTACCATTCTCCCCCCCCAACCATAAGGTTGGTGCTTTAACAAAATCAAGTGGCCAGTAGTATTTCAGAGTCCATCTATATAAGAAAATCTTGTTTATCATCTCTTATGTTTTCTAAGTTGACCTGCACAATAAGTCTTCAGTTCTTTAATTGGAGCCTTCTCAAAATGTCTTTTCAGTATTATTGAGCATCTCAAGCCCCTCAGGATATTACTCTAAGACCTAAATACTTAAATTTGTATTATCAAAAAGTTCCAAAATGGAATATAGTAATGAATCAGTTTTGTCATAATAATGGGACGTCTTTTTTCTTTTTCTGGAAAAAACAAATTAGAAGTAGAAGCACCTGTCCTGAATAAAAGGAAAAGTCAATTCATTAATTGTCAGCATACTTACCGTTTTTCCATTTGTTGTATTAACGTGAACCTCACGGCCTTTGATCTGGGTTACTTCACCATCAATCCATGCCAAAACAGGATCTTCAACCCACACATGAGAGCCTACAATTATATTATCTGGGGCAGCCTGCAAATACAATATCATCATTGAAGATCTTTGAAATATCAAGCTACTCATCCAGAGAAACAGTAAGCAATATGACAATAAATTTAAAGCCAAACAAGAAACAAAATGGAAATCCCAAATTCCGAAACTTATTAAACGTAGTCACCCATTGAGGTTTTAAAAGAAAAAATGAGTCACACATTTGTTAAGGCAATTATCCTAAAATCTCCTTCCGCAACTTGACTTCTTTTTGCAACACATCATACATACATTTCTATCATGCAACCCAAAAGCAAAACAATGCAAGCAACAAGAACCGGCAGGCTGGCCTCCAGCAAGGAAAAAAGCTCTTATGCTGACCCGGAAAATTCTCAAGCTGTCTTCATCTTATCTCAGCTAGATACAAACAGCAAAGCATAGTTACGATTCAAAGGAAGCGATGAACCCTAAACACCTAACGTTCAAGTCAAAAAGCAGGCAAAAAAATTCAAATAATCGTTCGTTTCCTTGCTCCTTCCTATACATCTGATCTTATCCATTACAGAACACGGTTATAGTGTCAAGTTTAACGAAAATTCAAATATCAAATATAATCTCTTCGTTGACACAATATTCTCTCGTGAACTTATCTTGCACCTAACCATGAGTATACTTCTGATAAGGAGATAACAAGACCCAGGATGCCCATACAGTTCTCCAAACAAAATCCGAAAGCAGGAAGCAAAAGCAAACATGCTACGGTTAACGGGAAAAAAAAAAAGAAGCAGCAAATAAAAAATTACAGAAATAAACAACGAACTCAACACATGCAGTTTATCATAGGGAAATTTACCATTGAAATTCGAAAGTAGCAAAACAGGGCTCTGATCTTCAGCTCATCGAGAAAAGAACCAATGCAGATTGCAGAGAAAACGAAAATCAGCTAATACTTTGAACAAACCAAAACAACGTTCGAATTCCTCAGAATCACCGAGCGTCCACTACGAACCCTCTCTCTCTCTCTCTGAACCAGTTTATTGTGAAGGCTTATGTACACACCTCTCTCTATAAAAACTTTTGAAATCCCCTCTCTTTCTCTCTCTCTCTCTCTCTCTCTCTCTCTCTCTATAAGCTGTTACCTCGTGGGCCTTCGTCTCTCTACACGTAGAGATTTCTTGGGTTTCTCTACGTATATAAAGGTCGTCTAGTCAGCTTACGGTGGGACCGTCAGTCAGCCCCCCGCCCCAACGCCTGTCTTCTCTTCTCTTTTAAATGCTGTAAACTCAAAGCTATTGTCTTTATTAACTGATTAAACAAAATGATTTTAGATTTTTAATAACTACGAAAAATGTAAAATGGTAATTTTTTTTTGGGTGGGAAAATTATTCAAAATTACTTTTTTAAAAAAAAATAGAATGAGAATAAAAATAGATGAATTTAAAATTATTAATAATTAACCCCAAAAGAAACTAAAAATATTACCCCGAGTGTTTTGTTAATGTCATTAAGTAAAATATGGGACTCATAATTTACAGGACATTGAATTATTAATATAAATTTATTATAATATCATTCTACTCAGTAATGAGTTGTCATAATATTCTTTAGTAAATTTATTATTATAGTAATTTTAAAATTGAATTATTAATAATTAATTAGCATTTAATAATTTTATGGTGGCTTATATTAGATCATTTATTAACAGTTTTATTATTAAGTAAAATAAAATGATGGACATTATATTAATTTCATGGAAAAAACTACTATTCACTATTAATTAATTATATAAAGTAATTTTTTATTTGTTAAATTCTTCTTCTTCTTCTTCTTTTTTAATCAGAAATTATATTTATTATACTCCTCGTGGAGCAAATGATCTTGTACCAGTTCAATCACGACCTAAATCCTGTTAATGAAATCGACAACAAATGCCCGATTCTGTTCCCAGTCCTAACTCATAACACACATCTTTACTTCCATCCCTCTTCTCTCTCAAATCTCAATGGCTTCCTTCTCGCTCCTTCAACCTACCCATCACTTCTCCTCCATCAAATGCTCCTCTTCTTCCCCCACTCCACCACCCCCCCGGCCCCAGCACCAGCCGCAGAAGCACCGACGCCCCGCCGACGAGAACATTCGCGACGAGGCCCGCCGCCACAACCTCCCTCACAGGCACCATTTCTCCGCTAAGTACGTTCCCTTCAACGCCCCCGCATCCTCCACCGAGTCCTACTCCCTCGACGAGATCGTCTATCGCTCCCAGTCTGGCGGCCTCCTCGATGTTCAGCACGATATGGCTGCCCTCAAGCACTATGACGGCGCATTCTGGCGCTCCCTTTTCGATTCCCGTGTTGGCAAGACTACCTGGCCTTTCGGCTCCGGCGTTTGGTCCAAGAAGGAGTGGGTTCTGCCGGAGATCGATGACGACGACATCGTTTCGGCTTTCGAAGGGAATTCCAATCTCTTCTGGGCCGAGCGGTTCGGCAAAGAGTTTCTCTCCATGAGCGATCTCTGGGTCAAGCATTGTGGCATCAGCCACACCGGCTCTTTCAAGGATCTGGGCATGACAGTTCTGGTCAGCCAAGTGAATAGACTGAGGAAACTGAACAAACCCGTGGTGGGCGTTGGTTGCGCTTCTACCGGCGACACGTCAGCTGCGTTGTCCGCATATTGCGCGTCTGCTGGGATCCCTTCCATCGTCTTCTTGCCTGCTAACAAGATCTCAATGGCTCAGCTGGTGCAGCCCATTGCCAACGGGGCGTTTGTTTTGAGCATAGACACCGACTTTGATGGCTGTATGCAGCTGATAAGGGAAGTCACTGCCGAGTTACCGATCTATTTGGCGAATTCCCTCAACAGCTTGAGGTTAGAAGGGCAGAAAACGGCGGCCATTGAGATCTTGCAGCAGTTCGATTGGGAGGTTCCCGATTGGGTTATAGTCCCTGGTGGTAATCTGGGTAATATTTACGCTTTTTACAAAGGGTTTTATATGTGCAAAGAGTTGGGTCTTGTTGATAGGATTCCTAGGCTTGTTTGTGCTCAAGCTGCCAATGCGAACCCCCTTTACTTGTATTACAAATCTGGGTGGAAAGATTTCCAAGCTGTTAAGGCAAATGCTACCTTTGCCTCCGCTATTCAAATTGGTGACCCTGTTTCCATTGATAGAGCTGTTTATGCGTTGAAGAACTCCGATGGTATTGTGGAGGAAGCTACTGAGGAGGAGTTGATGGACGCCATGGCTCATGCAGATTCTACAGGGATGTTTATTTGTCCTCACACTGGGGTTGCATTGACAGCCTTGATTAAGCTGAGGAAGAGTGGGGTTATAGGTGCCAATGATCGGACGGTGGTGGTCAGTACAGCTCATGGGTTGAAATTTACGCAGAGTAAGATTGATTACCACTCCAAGGAGATCAAAGACATGGCCTGCCGATTTGCTAACCCACCTGTGCAAGTGAAAGCCGATTTCGGGTCTGTTATGGATGTTTTGAAGAAGTATCTGTTGAGTAAAGCTCCAAAACATTAGGCGGCTAGTGAGAATTGTAAGTTTTGCTCATGATACTATTCTATCTTATGCTTAGTTTTGGGCGTTATTTAATGTGCTTATGGAATTGAGGGCTTCTTGTTAGGACCTGGGATAGAGGAGGATCATCTATTAGGCATCACTGCCGATTTTGACAAGTTCATCATTTCAATCAACTGATAACTCTATTTTCTTTTCATGATCTATGCTTTTTCTTTGAGCATTTCATATATTTGATGATTTGCTTTGTGTGGTATCTAATGCTTCTTCATATCTTTCAATTGGATGGTGAGAATCTAAGTCAAGAACAGCATCAAATAGCCATTGATCACCATGGATTTGGGGGACTAGAAAAGTTGGCAGGTCTAGAACTTGTCTGGCCTAAGGGTGTAATAGTATTATAGAGAAATACATATTTTTCTTAGATTGCATATCCAGGTTAGTCAAGTAACAGAGATTCTCTGTATAAAATCTCATATCTGATTATATTATGTATAGTATGATTCAGAATGATAAGTTTAGTGGGTGAGGATTCTTTTCTGAAGGAAATCGGGCATGGCTTCATTTGGTTTAGGGGTCTTCAGGTTCATGGTTTGTGTTTGCAGAATGAGATGAATTCTTGTATAGAGTGATTCCTTGTCATGCCCAGCAATCTCTCCCATGCTCCTCTTCTTGCGGAATTAGATGAATTCTATTGTTCCTGTCCTGAACCTAATTACACTGGGTGTGAAATGTTAACTACAAATGCGGTGGTGGAATCGGGTGATGGGGGGCAAGAATTGAAGGAGTGCAGAGGCCAGGGTGTAGCTAGAATTATAGGGGTACAAGGGCAGAACTTGAGTAAGGCGGTTAGAGAAGAATGCAAAAGTTCTATCATGGCCTATTTTGCATATATTTTGTGTTGATTAAAAAAAAACCCATATTTTGCCAACATATTTTCCCAACAGAACGCTATTCATGATCTACCTAACCCAAAATAATTCACGAAAAGAGTTGTTCAATCCATAAAAATCAATAGAGCAATTATCCATCCATTCCAGTTTATTTTGGTATCTTCAGTGTTGCTCGATGTTTCTTCTTAGATAAAACTCATCAACTATCAAAATCAGAATCTCCTTCTCAGTATAACTCACTAGTGAATTTGCAAGAAATCATCTTTCATCTTGTTAAGAAGCTAATTCTTTACAAGATTCATTGCTAAAATGCTTCTTTAGTGGTAGCTAGAGAGACCGAAATTGGTAAGATAATTCAAAGTAGTCTATCAATAAGGGGACAAATTCTTGGCTTTCTTGACCTAGCTAACGACTAATATAGTTAAGAACTATTGCTTCCCACTCTGAATAATCCCCATTTTGCTGGATTATCGCCAATATAATCATAAAAAGCTAATTTTCGATTGGGGAACCTGTTGAGTGTTGAGCTGAAAGTATTCCAAATGATGTTTCAAGTGCAACTTCTCTTGTTCGCTATAATCGTCATGATGAAAAGTACTTGTGAGCTTGTAAATATAATCAATTTCGAACAAACTAAGATCATGTCTTGGATTTAAAGATGGACTGAGAACGAGAAACTCAAATCTTTTCTTTATTAAATTTGTAATTTACTTGGGCAGTTGAGAGTCTGTAGTAACTATGGACCATCTATACAATATTTTTAGAGATGCAATCGATCTCTTTTAGGAGGGTAATAAGAGTTCATATGAGGAATTTTCTACAAAATAATTCCAGACATTATGAATTAGAATTCCATTCATTTATTCTAAATGCACTGCATTTACTAGATCTTGAGATTTACGGTGTAAAACTTGAGAGAAATCATCTGCAATCACATAATCTCCTTCATCAAGTGTAAGATACAACATAACCCCAAATGATTTCATGGAATCAGGAGCTTAATCTGCATCTCTCCCTCCATCTGACTATAATTGAAACATTCAGAAGTCATGTTCTTTTAAGAGTAAACAAGTTGTCTCAGATCAAACTGAATAGAGAGTTCTAGTGCAAACCCCATCTAGTATCATCAGGTCATATTAAGTTTTCAATTTAATTCAAGCACCTACTTGTTTCAATTTCATCAGTTGCAATTAATTTCGGAGTTAGTTCAAAGAATTTGACTGCTATGTTGGCCTCAATCAATCAGTGACTTGGGAGTTTTAGGGTAGCCATGGCTTGCTATTGATTTGAATAATACCTATTAAACAGTAGTAGTAGTAGAAAATATTGTTATTTAAAAAAAAAAAAAATAGAAATTATGTATTTAGTGAAAATAATTTTTTGAAAGTCACAAATTATAACTTTTGTTATTAAACCTTATTAAAAGTATCCTTTGATTTTAATAAATTATTAAAAAATATTTTATATTTTATATGTTTCGGTCATAAAATTACTTTTAAAACCTAAAATTGAACTCAAATTTATGTGGCACTTGGCAGTTTTGCAATAATGAAAAGTAAAAGTATCTTTTGACTCATATATTTACAAGAACTTTTTATACCTTCTCTTAATTATGTTACATATTCATATTAATTAGAAAATAAATTTATGATAAAAATACACGCGCACACAAAAATATATATATATATATATATATATAAAGTCTTTAACTCCAATTCATAAATAAATAAATAAATAATTACTAAAGTCAATGAACAAAAATGTATAGAGAAAAATAAATAAATAAATACATTATTAAACCATGTTTTTGCTGCCAATCTATCCTGTCACTAAAAATTTTAGGTATAGTCCGACCAATCAAATCAAGCCAACAAATAAAAAATTACCCAAAAAAAATGTACACTGTCATGTGTCTTCTTCCATGGCCATGGATGAACCCGGGCCAGGGCTTGGGCTTCGTTCCGGGCCCAACTTCGACTTTCCTTTCTCCTTCGCTGAATTCATCTTCTCCAGCTTTAATCCTGCTCTGAATCTTGCTATGAAGTTATCAGCTTTCGTGTTCACATCCGGGCTTGGACAGAACAACTGATTCGACGCATCTCCTCCCTTCATTTCCGAACTAGAATCATTTTTCTCTTCAACCTCATCTAAATCAGGTGACCCACTTCGCGAGCTGCTAATGCTTTCCAGTCTAACGTAGTCACCTTGAACTACGAACTTCCACGCCGGCATTTTGAACGGAGGCGGAGGTGGCGGCGGCGGGATTGGAATCAATGGTGATTCATTGCCAATCATTGTACTTTCCTCTCTTCTGTTAAACTTGTTTACCTTAGCAGGAATGTTAGGTTCTTGAGAGGGGAATGGTGCTTTCTGAGACCTGGTTTCTGATTTCCTTGATCTGGTTTCTGAAGCACGTGACTGGAATGACGCTGGTGGCGGTGGCGGCGGGGGTGGTGGGGGGACTGAATGGATTTCTTTGACTTGCCTTTCTTGGAGGAGAACAGGTTCTGGAAGAAAGGTGCAGGAGGAGGAGGTGGCGGCGGCGGAGGGGGGGACGGAGGTGGTTGTAAAGTAGGTTGCTGTGAGTAATTGAAGATTGCTTCTAGATTTTCAACACTTTTTTGTCTTTGCTTCTTCTTCTTCCTCCTCAAAGAAGTTAAGAAATCCTTAGTAGTCCCGCCTCTCTTCTTCTCACTTTTCATACTCTTCTCGTACAGAAGCAGAGGTGGCGAGGGCGGGGACGAGGCGGGTGGTGGCGCCGAAGACGATTCACAACTAACCTTGATGCCCAACTCAGCTTCCCCCGAACTTCGATCCTTCCCTTCTGCAAGATTTTGATATGTTCTCTTCTTCTTCCGTTTCACCGCCTTCTGCGGGGGTGGCGGCGGCGGAGACGAAGGTGCCTGCGGCGGAGATGGTGGCTCCGGTGGGGCTGACGGCGAGAGATTATCCAAAACTTGCTTTTCTGTTTGAATGACAAAAGTATCAACTTGTATGTCCTTAGAATTGTTATAACGATCGCCACCTTCTTCTTTAATCTCTCGTCGTGGTCGGCCGGAGAACTGTTCGGCGGTTGAAACACGATTATTATAGAGATGGGTATCATCATAAAACCTCCATGGATCATCGCCGGCTGTCCATGAAGATTCCTGCAGCCTCAGATCTGGATATGAGCTGCTACTTCTGAGCCTAGTGAAAGAGCTAGAGCTAGTCCGATCTGCATACCACCGATATGGAGTAACAGGGTTGGATTTTGAACTATCTTGTGACACTGTTCTTGAAAACTTGTAAGCATCATAGGACCTTGTACTAGCATCTCCATTGCTGCTGCTGTTGTTGCTTCTGCTGAGGAAGCCAAAAACGATGGCGACAAGGACCAAGGCGAGATTTACTTTGTCCCAGCTTTTCTTAACCAGGTTTGGTCTGAGAAGTTGGGAGGTGGAGGAGGGAAAGGAAGGGATGACGAAGAAGATGAAAGCAAATGCAGTGAGCAACAAGAGGATGACGAGGAAACCGGAATTGAAGAGGAGAGACTGACGGCGGCGGAGCCGGTGATTTTCGCCAGACTGGAGCCAGAATGGGGACATGTCTTGGTCTTCTTCTTCCATGATTTGAGAAGTTGGGTGATGCTTTTGGTTTGCTTTTCTTGAAGCTTTTTTGTTTGGGGTTGGTGGTGACTTGATGCTTTCTTGCTCCGCTTTAGTATGCTTTGCTTATTATATATAAATTGATGATTATAATAATAATAATAATAATAATAATAAAATGGATTGGATTATCGAATATGTATAATATATATATATATATATATATATTCTTATAACTATAATGATGGGAAATGGGGTAATAATCAATACATTTTTTATTTTTTAAAAAGAAGGGTGACATGATTTGGATTGCATATAATCCAAGAAATTAATCATTTCATAGAAACATTGTAAAATTCCATGTGCCCGTTGATTTTCTGGCATTTATACGTGTGTGTGGGGGGGTATATATATATATAGTTTCTTTTAATTAAAATGTATACAATTTAATAATTAAATGAGACTTATAGACCCATAATAATATAATTAATTTTATATAAAAACAGCTATAAACGGGAGAGACAAAAAAAAGGGGAGGGGGTCAAGTCCATAGTGTCCGCGTATGACAACTAAATCTTACTTAACACACTATAGCTAAAATATATTCCAATGGCCGCTATATCTTTTTATATATACATATATATATATAGATATAGATATATCCTTACAACTAATGATTACTTTAAAGGAAAGCGTGTTTTTCCCTGCAAGTCCTATATATATATTTAAATCCAAGACCTTTGAAATATCAATTTATATATAATTAGAATGGTGTTGGGAAAAAAATAATATATATAAAAATAATGTTGGTCTTTCTTGTGGAGCAAAAAAATGGACGAGTTTTCTGTTCAAGTTTTTGATAGCTTGTGAGGTTAGACAAAAAAATCATACTACTTCTGCTTCCATTTTTGACGCAATAGACCTTTGTTTTCTTTTACTTTCTTTTTAAGGAAAGTTGAGAAAAGAAAATTTCATAGTTTTGATTAACGAGTATTTCTTGTTTGATATTTTCAGCCTTTTGTTTTTTACTAATTCATGTTATTATAATCTTTAGGATGAATGAGCAAATTAATCAACTATTTTCATCACATTTCATTTTATACACACAGGATACTACTCTCCAAAACGAAACAATTTGAAGCCATATATATATATATATATATATATATATATATCTCTCTCTCTCTCTGAGTTTTAGTTTCTGTTATAATGCATACACCATCCAGAAAGAAAACCAATCAAGATATCAATATCCAATTTCTTGAAGCACTTAACAAACAACAGTCTCAAATGATACCCCGCCATTTTGCTACGAATCATGCCATTTTCATACACACGCAGGACAAATCCTCACGGGGATTCAAATATCAATTCTAGTAATTTCTCTTCCTTGTTACTGCTTCCTAAAGTTCCCACTGCCATCCGTTAACAGTTATTTCACAGTTTCAGTAGACATTTCATATCATGTTCTGTACATGATCATATGGAACTTGTTTTAATTGCTTCAAGTTTCAGATAGTTGCGACTTCTGCAGTGCCAGTCTTTGTTTTTCTTCCCCAGCGTTACTACTAGATGGAAGCTTTATCTACACCATTCTCATATCTGGGTTTCCTTTCATTTCGGGAATCATGTGCAAGTACGATGGATAGAGATACTCCTAATGGCGAGAAAGCAGAAGAATGATTATTGTGATAACAACGACAACTGTACATATCAAAGCCTGCAATGGCCATCACGTATGTGATTGATTAAGACATAAATGGCAAACCAAAAGACTAATCAAACTTGTTGACCATTTAAATCTTCAACATTATAATAACTAACTACTCGCTGCTCACGGTGCTCTTCAGCACAGAGTTGACAGCTTTTTCATATGAATGTGATCATATAGCCATCATAAGAACAAGAAATTATAAACAGTTCATGAGGTTCACTCACAGCTATTGCAGAAGCAGCAAGTCCTGATCGCTCCCTTGGATCCTTACGGTAATAGTTACCAAAGTATAGAACGGTTGCGAAGTACCAAATCAATGGGCATACAAATCCAAGGAGAAGGCTATGGAAAGCAGTTAAACCACACATGAGGGTAGGAAATAATAAGAGATGGAGTAAGTGGAGGAGGTTGGAAGAACTTACGAAGACCATCCTATTCCGCAGCCAAAGCAAGGAAGGGGTTTATCATAAGCTCCTAATTGGGGACCCTCTACATCTCGAATGGGTGCATATTCACCTTTCTTTTGTTCAATCACATCTGTTGAGAGTCCTGTGTTTGGAGCAAGTGTCTGATTACTACTTATTCATTAAGAACCATATCTGCAGAATGTCTCCAAAAGAAAAAAGAAGAAAAGCATTCTGCATTTTCTTTTTTCATTATGAAGGAAAGTATTAGTCACGGAAATATATGCATGGTAACATATTCCCAACACATAGATGAAGCAATTAATGCATGGGCAAAGCAATTGTGTTTATGCAGCTTTTAGAAGAACAACTCAAAAGCCAAAATACTTTTTGAAAATAAAATTTTATTAAGGGAGCAGAATATAAACAGGAGGAGATAAAGAATCCTTAATAAAAAAGAAATAAAATCAGGAAGGAACAGAAAAATGGAACAAAAAGAGGGGGTTAACAATTATTGTTAGAGAGCCTCTTGTCTGGAAAAGAAATCTAAGACAGCCTCCTAATTCCTTTGCATGATAGGCAAAGGCAAACACTGAAAAAGGCATGCACTTTAGGCCATAAAGTCCATCATAGCTTGTGTAATATTAATACATTTTTGGCCCAGTCACAAAACCAGCACCCAGCAAAAAGAATCCCTCTTCAAGGCATTTTATGCTTGCTTCACCCATCCACTTAAACGGATCAAGAAAAACACCTCAGGCAAACAACTTTAACCCCAAATTAAGAGGCAAACAACTTACTCCAAATATGAGAAGCCACCTCACAATACAAGAACACTACTAATCTTTGACTCCCTAGAAACTAGAAGACATCAAAAAAATATAATGTGAAATAGCAATATTTGGACGATGGCTCTGAAACAAGCTATTAGTGTTAATCTTACTAAGAATTGGAATCCCAATAAAGATGTTAACCTTTTGATGGAACTTTCACCTTCTGGAAAGAACTAGCAAAAACAGAATGGGTAGAAGTATGATCTTGATTCAAAAAGGTCAAGAAAAGATTACAAAAGTATATACTGGAAGATCCAAGAGACCGAGCCTACTCATCAGCATAAGGTGATGGATGAAAAGACTCAAGCATAGTGATGTCAAAAATCTCTTTGCGGTTTTAAATGTCTGTAAAATTCAATATTCCAGAGACATGAAGACCTTGCTGGGTGACAAAAGAAGGAATATAATGATTTTGGCACACCAAGAGCTTATAAAGGCGAGGAAATATAATAGGAAAAAAAAAACGCTCTTGCAACCAAGGATCCTCCCCAAAATAAAAAAAACAAAAACTATCTCCCACCCCCCAAATGAAGCAAAGGATGAACTGAAGAATATACCTAAAATAAGAATATCAAAGGGCTTCACTGACTCATGTTTGCTCCCTCTGGTCTCCCACCCAATTTGATGAAGAATATACCTACTCCTGATCACCCTATGCCACAAAGACAGTGGCTCAAGAGGAAGACACCGAAACCATTTAGTAACTGAAAGGGATATTTTTGGAAACCAGATTCTCTGAGACTCCACCTTCCTTTTTAGCTGAACAACATATCCAATTTACTGGTGATCCTTCTTTTCCTATCAACCCCAGTCCAAAGAAAACCCCTCATTATTCTCTCAATTTTGTCTACTACACCCACTGAGAGTCCTGCAAGGGGAAATGTAATAAAGAGGAATACTAGACAAGCAAGCTCGGATAACCATAACCCTTCCCCTCTATTAGAATATTGTAAAATATTCTTGTACATAAAAGTATGACTATTTTTTCAAATATGTTAGCGTAATTAAGAAGTAAATTAATAGGATAATTTATGTTGGTTACCATATATAAATTCATCTACATGTATATATATCTCTACTCTCATTTCAAAAAAACTATAAAAAAATATTCAGTACTCTTTTCACTAACTCTTACATGGTATCAGAGTTAGGGTTAGGGTTAAGGTGTTGAAGATCAAATTACATCAGACCAAAAGAATAGTTGAACAACCCATTCAAATCGCCGGAGGAAGTTGACAACTGATCCCTGGCCAATTTGGAGTGCGGCCAGCACAGTGGTGTACATGGGAGAAGCTGAGGAGGTTGTTTGTGCGGCAGTTTGAGACTGTGTGCATTGGGTTTGCCGGAGGAGGGTACTCCTATGTGTGTTGTTTTTCCGTACAAGAACATAAGCTGCTAAGGAGCTCGGTTGGCCAGTCCTGTGCATGAAACCAGAAGGCCGGAGAGGAGAAAGCTGCAGAAGAGCAGACAGTGCAACAGAAAGCGATTCTCTGCTCTTCGACGCAATTTGAGGTGTTTCTGCGAATGTCATTCCAGATTAGGGTGAGCATTGGAGTTCTGTGGTGATTTCCGACTAAAAGAAGACTGTTTGGTGGTTTCCAGGGGTGGTGCGTGGCTCTCCAGCGACGGCGCGTGCGACAGTGTAGAATCTTCGATGGTTGACAATGAGGTTCCAGTAGGGTTGTTGACAACCGTGCGTGAAGAAGTACTCTATTTTCTCAAATTTTCTGGTATATCTGTAGTGTTTTTGGTGTGTCTCTAACTGCTGTGTTTGGATATTTTGGGTGACAATTTGTGAATATTCTTGAATAAAAAATAAGTAATAACAGGTTTTCTGTAAGTGAGGTAGTCCAAGCAATATCAAAAATCACTAAGCATAAATTAAACAGCACAAATTATTTGAAATGGATCAAAACTATTAGGGTTTATCTACACAGTAGTGATAAAGATGATCACTTGACTCAAAACCCTCCCACTGATGAAACTAGACAAATCTAACTAAGAGATGATGCACGATTGTTTTTGCAGATTACAAACTCAATTGATAATGAGGTAATTGCCTTAATTAATCATTGTGAGTTTGTTAAAAAACTGATGGATTATTTAAAATTTCTCTCACGGCCTATTTTATGGAATTTAAAAAGATACATGAGGAGTTTAATATACTTTTGTCGTTTAGTGCTGGCATCAAGGTACAACAAACACAGAGAGAGCAGATGGTCATAATGAGCTTCTTGACTGATCTCCATACGAATTTGAGACTGCTAAATCTCAAATTCTATCTGGTTTCGAGATCACAACTCTTCGAAAAATTTTCAGTAGAGTGTTACATACAGAGACTACTACACCTAATCAACATACTAATGTTCTTGTTGCCAGAGGAGGAGGAAGAAATAATACCAGGAGAGGGAACAGAGCAATGGATAGTCAGAATAGTGATTGAAGCAATATTGTTTGTTATTACTGTCATGAGTAAAGATACATAAAACGACAATGCAAGAAATTACAAGACTGGAATCAGAGAACACAAACTGCTAATATTGCTACTGTTGCTATTGTTAGCTTCTCTTATAAGAAAACTATTATGGTTTTAGCTGATGAGTATGAAAGATTCTCACAGTTTCAAGATTCTTTGAAAGAATACACATCAGCCGCTGCTTCTACTGAATCAGATAAAAAATGTCTTATCTCCTCATCAAATAAATAAGTGATTGATTCTGATGCTACAAATCACATGACAAGTAATCCTAATATCTTCTCTACATTTCGATCACACAGAGCGACTTCTCTTGCAACTATTGCTGATGAGTCAACATATAATATTGAGAATTTCAGGACTATAAAATCAACTACTTCTATTACCCTGACATCTGTTTTAAGTTTACCTAAACTTATTTTCAATTTGATTTATGTAAGTAAACTTATCAAAGATCTTAATTATCGTATCTCATTCTTTCCTAATCATTGTCCTTTTCAGGATTTTATAACGAAACAGATTATTGGTAAAGGGCATGTATAAGAAGGTCTCTACATTCTTGATAGTTGGGTGCCTCGATCAGTTGTCTGCTCTAGTGTTGTCTCTCTATTTGAAATACATTGTCAGTTGGGATATCCATCTCTCATTGTATTGAAAAAGTTGTGTCCTCAATTTCTTGATGTATCTTCATTAGATTGTGAGTTGTGTGTCAGGAACCCATTTATGGTGAAATAAAAGAAAAGGTAAGTTACAAAATTCACAAAAAAAGACGAAATAATAAGAAAACTAGGGTTAAGGTTTGTCAATCCTGATAAGCTCATCAATCCCGCAGCCGACACCTCAGCCATCCTCATCTCATCCTGTGGCAAACACTGTGCTCACTGCACCGTGCAATTCTGACAAGTTGATTCCGCCAACAAGAACGTTTCCTTCATTGCATTTAAGCCTATAAATGGCCATCTTTTATTATTTGCAAACATAATGAAATTAATCAATAAAAATCCTCTGTTTTCCCTCTCTTCAATATTTTTCATCTTTTTCTCTATTCTTCTTCTTCCTTATTTTCTCTTCAGATTAAATTCATGTCTAAGGTGTCTGACAAGGTAGCATTAGAGCCCAAACCGGCGGAATCCTACGGCGGGGTTGCACCCCACACTCAATCCAAAGGGAAGGCAACGGCGATCGAGCTGGAGAAACCCGAACTCTCCGTGAAGGATGTTGATAGAAAATTCACCTCCTTCATGGAAGAAATGTATGAGATGAAGGCAAATTCAGTATCAGTTCAAGTACCTGGTAGAGCTGATACATGGCTGAGCGCCGCACCAGGAGAAACCCAAAGAAGGCTCAATGCATTTGATAGCCGAAACCCGCGAGGCTGATGATCTTCTTCTCTTTCCTAACAGTACGAGCTAGTTAGGGGCTCTAACACCCTCAGAAGACTGGCCAAAGCCAACGGATCCACGCGGAGAGAGAGGTCTGCTTCCTCTCCTGAGGAGCGGCCATCTCCCTGTTACTCCCCCGAACGGCACGCACGACACAGAAGGGTTTCAACCCTTATTTAGGCCTGGTTCACTGGACCGAACCGAACCAGCGGAGGAAGTGGACTGGCCTGATTCGACCCGAACCAGTCTACACCGATCCAGCCCGACCTGACCTGATTTGAACCGAACCAGGTCTGTTCCCGGCTGAACTGGCCCAAACTGAACCGGCCTAATGGATCCTATGCCCAGAAATGGTTCTGCCAAATTTCTTTTGCTTCTCAAGGTGGAGATTCCATTTTTCAAAAGAATAAATCCCTGCAGGTGGATTCGAAAGTGTGAGAAATATTTTATGATGCACAATATTCTTGACAAGTAGAAGGTGACGATTGCATCATTGTACTTAGGAGAAATTTTTTATATATGGTACTATGGATGGCAAGCCAAAATTAATGTCATAGATTGAAACTATTTTGCGAAAAAGCTTTGTCGTAGATTTGGAGGACCATTATAGTAGGATTTCATAGAGGAATTTACCAAACTATCTTAAACAGGTACTGTCTTGACTATTTAAAAAATTTTGAACACTTACGCTCTCTCATGGATGCAGATAACCCAACACTTTCAGAAAGATTTTCATATCCACCTTTATTAGTGATCTCAAGCCACAGTTACAGGCCATGCTAAGACTCCTCAAGCCGCAAACGCTTAATAAAGCATTCGAACAGGCCTTACTACAAGAACAATCTGTTATAAAACTGTCTCGAAATTAATATCATACTAATAAAGTTATTAAAATCGCGAAAGTATTTCAAACAATAAATAATGATCAACTGCTCCGAAAGGATATGGAGCTTAGAAGAGCAACAGCTACTTGCTACAACTGTGGAGACTGGTATTTTCCAGGACACCATTGTGCAAATAAACCAGTAATGGCCATAGAGGAAATTGTCATGGAAGGGTCTCTAAGAGAAAAGGTTTTCTCAAATCAACCTTGAGGACAAGGTCGATACTCAAGGGGATGGTATTGCCACGAACCCATTTAAAGTAAAATAAAAGGAAGGGTAGGTTAGGAAATTCACACAAAAAGATAAAATAATTAGAAAACTAGGGTTAAAGTTTGTCAATCATGATCAGCTCATCAATCCTGCAGCTGACGCCTCAGCCATCCTCATCTCATCCTGCGGCGGATGCCGCTCACCACACCGTGCAATTCCGACAAGTTGATTATGCCAATAAGAACATTTCTTTTATTGCATTTAAACCTATAAATGACCATCTTCCATCGTTTGTAAACAAAATGGAAATTAATCAATAAAAATCTTCTGTTTTCTCTCTCTTCAATATTCTTCATCTTCTTCTCTGTTCTTCTTCCCTATTTTCTCTTTAGATCAGACCCATGTGTAAGGTGTCTGACATCATATCAGTTTGCAAAATATTATCGTAACTCGTCGAGTTCAAGAATTAATAAATGAGCTGAGTCTGCTTTTGAATTAGTTCATTCTGATATTTAGAGTTCGTGTCCTATTATGTGTAAAACAGGGTTTAAATATTGTTACTTTTGTTGATGATTTTTTTCGAATAACTTGAATATACTTTATGAAGAATTATTCTGAAATATTTACTTCATTTCTGTGCTTTTCTTGCGGAAATCAAAACTCAATTTAATGTTCCTATGCATGTGCTAAGAAGTGGTAATATTAAAGAATATATGTTAGATTCATTTCAAAATTATATGACTCAACATGAGATTCTTCATCAATTTTCTTGTGTTGATACATCATCTCAAAACGAGATTACTGGGAGAAAAAACAGATATTTACTTGAAACTGTTCGATCTCTCTTAATTAAGACACGAGTTCATAAGCAATTCTACGCTAATGCTGTATCCACTGCTTGTCGTCTATCATCTACAGTACTCAAAGGTGATATTCCTTACAGTATTCTTTTTCCCAACAAATCTTTGTTTTTGGTAGAGTCGCTAGTATTTGGTAATATTTGTTATCTTCGAAATGTATGATCCAGTATTATTAAGTTGGATTCCAAAGCCTTAAAGTGTGTTTTTTTATAATATTCTTGCTTGTAAAAGAGATATCGGTGTTACTTTTCAAACCTCAATAAATATCTAATATCAACCGATGTAATCTTCTAAGAGAATATATTGTTCTTCTCCTCACAGTCTATTTCTACAGATCAAGTGAAGGACGATAAGTGACTCATCTATAGATTCCAGAACAGTACCTCTACAGAGCAACTAGATAATGGTATTTTTTTCTAATGTGCCTTCTGAGCAAACTGATGATGGTGTGCTTCCAACTCAAGAACAACCACTTATTATTCATATTTATTCAAGAAGACAACAGACTAATATTACATGTCCTGCACCAACTTCTTCATCATCTAATCCTTCCATCCATGATCT